ATTATCTAGCCCTACCCTGTGGCATTCATCAAGGCTTTTAATAAGCATGATGAATATTAGATATGGTTTCTTACTAAGAAATTAGAGATATTCAAGATACGGATTAAATTGGCTAAAATATTCAGAGATGTCATTTCATGAACTGGGTATAAGAATCCTGCAAGGCCTGTACCCTCATCCTTGTGTGTTGTTTCCAAAGCTTGAACCCCCAAGAAATCTATGAATTCATCAGATCTAAGGATTTCTGGTTCTTTCATGCCCTTTTAAGGGTAACATGCCTCTGGAACACCACACTGGGTATAAGTGAAACTTTCACGCAAAGTATGATCAAATCCCTCAAAATGATGAAGAGCTAGAAGATTTAACATGCTTACAACACAAGTTATACAAACAGTTTTGTACTTGCTTATGAGAGATGTTTAAAAATGTCTCCATGAATAGCTGAATTTGACTTTCACATAACCTGTTAACAAGGTCGTGGTGAAACAGCTCTCAGACACATTAAACTTTAGCTTTTTAACAACAAAACCTTGAGCTGTGCATGACCAAATTGTCTTTGATCAACTGGATGTGTTATGTTTAACCATGTGAACCCTTTCCCACTTCTTATAAAACCCTCTGATAGTTTGCCTGCACGTCTGTTCCCTCTTTATGAAGGCCCACTGTGAATACCCAAATTCTGCAAATTCATAAAGTCTTCCAGATCCCAGGTTGATCTCAACCCCTCAATTTCAATAGCACTCACCCTAGGTCACTCACCACACTTCAAAATTTACCTTGCGTCTTTGTGATCCACTTATAGCACTTGGTAGATTTTCTTGAGCATGGAATCTTATGCAGGTGGTACTTTTCATCTCTTAAGCTATGTAGTATAGTGTTTTGCTCACAGAACAGGTAAACCGCATTAAACGAACAATAGAATATGTTCACCTCACAGTCAGGGCTGGGAGAAAGACCATTCTTTCATGTTACAGTCGCTGAATGCTTGCTATGTACCAAGCATCTTTCTAAGGAAGGTAGCATTGACACTACTGTCTGTCTTCAGAGAACTGACATTCCAGTGCAGAAAACAAATAATTAACAAACTATATTAAGTAGTGATAAAGGGTATGAAGAAAAAGAAAACAGAAGATAGCAGAGTGGATCAAACGTGCAATTTTAGATGGGGGTAAAGTGGGGAGACATGTGGAACCTTGAAGGCTCTGATACCTCTTGTGTATTTATGCATGATGGAAAACCTAAGTTTTTTCTCTGAAAACACTGTCAGTAGGCCATAGTGTAGTCAGTTATTCCTTGGGGCCTGTGGCAGACTATTGATTGCCCCCTAATATTCATCCTCTCCTTATGAAGTAACAGGGTAGCTAGAGTTTAGGTATAGGCATAGCCACGTAGCCAAAGATGACACATTCAAGCCTCTCTTGTAGCTGCATGTAGCTATCTGACCATGTTCTGGAATGGCAGTATAAGTAACATACGCCTCTTACTGATCATGCTCTTAAAATAAATGGACATGTTCTCCCTGGACCCCTTCTCCCTTGGTTTGGATACATACGTGTCAGCAGAACTGAAGTAGCCATCTTGGACCATCAGAAGGAACTCACAGGTTCTTGAGGATGACAGAGCAACAATTCTAATTTGAGTGAGCAGTTGGCTTCTGATCCGAGATTGTTCATGCTCTATTAAGAATAACCATCTTCTATCTTGTGCGTAAGTTAATTTTGGGTCTTTTTTATACCAGAAGAAATCTGTACTCTTAACAATTTGGGGGAACACTGGAGGAGCTATGTTATATACCCACAAGGAAGCTAATTACATAACTCAAGAAGACAAGGTACCTTGATAGCAAAGGAGGATAGTATTTTGGCAGGACACATCTGCTAATTAATCAATCATAAGAACTTGAAAAGTGGGATGCGCCTGTGGCTCAGTGAGTAGGGTGCCGGCCCCATATACCAAGGGTGGCGGGTTCAAATCCAGCCCTGGCCAAACTGCAACAACAACAAAAAAATAGCTGGGCATTGTGGCGGGCGCCTGTAGTCCCAGCTACTTGGGAGGCTGAGGCAGAAGAATCGCCTAAGCCCAGGAGTTGGAGGTTGCTGGAGCGACTCCGCTGCACTCTACCAAGGGCAAAAAAGTGAAACTCTGTCTCTATAAAAAAAAAAAAAAAAAAAAACTTGAAAAGTTACAATAGTGCTAAGTTCCTGTTTCTCCATCAACAGCACAGAGTCGTGTATGATTAAAATATATATTAAAATACAGTATATAAACTAATTATTGTAGCATCTAATTTACAGAATAACTTACATTTAAGCTTATCAGTGCTAGCCTTAATCACTCAATTCCTTTTTAGGCTTTATGACTGTGACTAGAAGAGGATAGCCTAACTCCCTTGGAAGGTCCCTCCTAAGTCTAACATCTAAACTGTGAAGGTCAAGAATGCAAGTCACAGAGATCACTGGCACTAAATTAAGGTTTTTAAATAACATGAAAGGAATACAAAACTGATTATTCGATCACAACATTCATTGGGCAACTTTCCCCAAATCTTTTCTTATACTGGAATTATTTCTTTCAATCCATTCTCTATTGAAACTTTGACAGTAATGGTTAAATGACCCTGTTGGTACCTCTGTTCCCCAAAACCTTTGTTCTAAAATGCATGAAGCTGAATGCCAAGAGTGTGTAAGCATGCTCTTAAGAGGCAAAATAATACGTTAGTTTACTAACTAAAGGGTGGTCAGGAAGGTGAGGTACTCTTAAAAGGAGAACATCTTTCAGGTGTTTCTGACCTGCCTAAAAATAGCTCATCTATGTTTCAGATTCTTTCACGAAGGCAGGGCCAGAGACAGAGCTAGATCTGTTTTTAGGCTGCTATAAAGAGTAGCCCTGTTTCTTTGGAGAAAGAGCTTTTTGAAAAAGAGTTGGTTTTTAAAAAAATACCTTAATCTTTCAACCAATTGCCAAAAACTTACTCTGGGGCAATGAGTACATAATTATATTTCAACAATAAAAAATAAATAAAATCGGGTGGTGCTGCCCCATATACCGGGGATGGCAGGTTCAAGCCCAGCTCCGGCCAAAACTGCAGAAAAATAAATAAAATCTCCAACTTTTCCACTGGGAATAAAAACCAAGCCCAAATTGTCAAGTCTTTCAAATATACAATTCTATTAATTATAAATTTTCCAAAACATATGACTATTAAATTATAAGATGAATTAGTATAAATACCATTATGGAAACTCATATGAATATCTTACATTCAAATTCCATGAAGGTAACAAGATCTATGAAAATAACTACCTGTACTGCCCAGTCTGTAGATATCTACACATGTAGGAAGAACTGTCATTATTAATCAAGAAAATAGAATACAAATTTCTACATTAACTTTACTCAGAATTCTCAGACCTGGATTTATCAAATACACAGTACATTTTTCAAGATTTAAAATGAAAATCAACATAATAAACATTTACAAAGCACCTATTTGGATGAATGCTAGGTGCCCTAATAGGCCCTCATCTCATCTGTGCCTTTCAACAACTCTCTGAATTAGGCATTACACTCATTTCACCAGTGATGAAATCGAATTAAGTAGCTTGACTGTAAGCAAGTGATAAAGTCTGCCTGACTCTGAAATACATTTTACAAAAATTACTTCAGATAGCAGTTTAATGTGACAAATAAGACCAAATTGGCTAATGGGCACGTTTTCAGCAAACCTAGTGTTTTGACCTAAAAATATTTATACTTGCTTTGTAACCTGGCTTCTTCAGACAGTTTAAACCTTTTTCCATGTGTGTTATTGCTTCTATTAGACTGTAATTTCATTGCAGGCAGACAGGAAATAAATTTTCTATCCTTTTGAGCAGTAATAGATTGGTGAACACTATTTTCTAAGTGGCTGACACTTAGCAGACTTGTTTTTTCAGTAAATCTGAAAACCAAAATGATTCTTAAGAAGTTTCCAAGTATAAAAAACAGTTCTCATTTAAAATAACATACACCAAAAAATATGAAAATAGGTATTTATTACCAATAAAGTGGCATTTCCCATAATTTTTTTTTCAGTTACACACAAAACACACAATGGCAGGAAGAAATTACATTTTCCACATACTAAAGATTTCTATTCCAAAGAAAATAGGCTTATGTCCAAAAGAATTAGAAAGCAGCAAGAAATCTTTTCTTTTACTTTGAATATGGAAAACATTTAACAGAGACTCTCCTTAGGAAAATCAAATGAGGACTTAGTCATCAAAAACACCTGTTGCCTTATGGTTTCAAATATCATTTTATTCACTGAATTAGGCTTTCACTTGAAATTTTTACAATTTGTATATAATTAAAAATCAACTTTTGCAGAAAATATTTGAAGTTTTAAGTGGCTAAGACTATACTGTGCTAGAATTATTATTCTTAATATGTTAAAATGGTACATAATTTATCCCTTGCAGCTCAAAATTCAATGTAAAACCAATATAAACTCTGACCAGTTGAAAAATATAAATGCTTATAAACAAAGTATGGAATAATTATTGGTATATGTAAATTGAAATATAATTGACCATTTTATTTTTGACATGCTTAATCATCACACTTCTTTTTCACATTGATACTAATTTTGAAGAAATAAGATGACTGATACTAAAGACAAAAACGAACTATACCAATCACATATTAATAAAGATATTTTGGTGGGAAACAAAGTATTTAACAACAAAAACATTGGTAACATCCACTTAATAATGGTACCAAGGTTTTCAGTGTTTACATGACTTGTTCATACTAGTAAAAATGTCATTTTAAAATATTTTCATACTTTCATGCATTAGACTTAGTTTATGAGAAAGAGGATCTTTCTTTTAAAATTTTTATAAAGAAAAATGCATTTTTAAAGAGATAATGTCTGAGAGGACATAAACATATGGTTCATTATTTTTTTTACCTAATAAGAATATAAATTTCAATGGCTGCTTAATATACAAAACCCATACTGAATACAATTCTTCAATTTATTCAGGCAAGCAAGTAAAAAAAAAGTAACTTTGTTATTACTGGCACAGATCCAATCCACTGTTTAAAGATATGCCCTTGGACTAGTCCATTTTCTTATAAGATTTATTTTTTAAAAGAATAGAATTTGTTTGGCTCTGTTAATTAGTATAACTCAAAGATAAACAAATGATTTTCTCATTTAATGCTTTCAAGCTGAAAGAAAACAATTTAAGTGAGATTTTCTAAGATAATGGATAGATCCACACTATAAGGAAGGACCTATAAGCTAAGTTCTAAAAACATTATGGTTTTAAACAAATCAATGCTTTTTCCTCACTCTTTACATAACACTGAGAAATTTCACATATAAATTGTAGAAACCAGTATATGAAATCTTAAGAAAAATCTTACTAAAAATAATTATAAAAATGCTTTTAGAAATTTAAGATGTAAAATACAATTGACTTTAAATTAAAAATAAAAATGAAAACACCCCCCCATTACACACTTTACAAGGTTATTCTTTAAAAACCCTTGCCACCTGATTTTATTCTCTATCACTCTTTTGGTTGCATTTTGCATCATCTAATGGCCACCTGTAGTATATCAAACAAGTCCTGCTACCATTTTTGAACCCTGGTGCTTTTATTCTTCTTTGATATACCAATACAATTACACCATCAAGTTTCAAAAACAAAAGTTTTAAAGGCCCATAAAATTCCATTTCCTAGTGGAGATTGGATAATCTTTTTAATAGGAAGAAATGAATAGATTTATCATAAATTATTACTATACATTAGACTAGATAATTCCCTATCAATTTTTTAAAATTAAATATAACATTGGGAGGAAACCAGGACTTAAGCTCTAGAGTCATCTTTATGCTCTAAAAAGTAATTAGTTACTCTGCAATTAAAGCTCAGAGCTACCATGTCAAGTAAACCTATAATTGGTAACTACCCTTCCACTGTACCTTTGATTTCTAATAGTTAAGTACCTTTTCACATGGGAACCCAAGGACTCACGGTTAGAGTACTAAGAACTCAAGTTCAACCAACAATGAAGAAGACTAAACTTTTATTACCAGATGATATTCCACAGGAAGAAGTCATTATGGTCTCCATTCTGCCAACCTATTTGTGTTGAAAAGCAGGTTTCCAAAAATACCGATTTTTCAGTTTTAATGAATCTTCTTACTTTTATTCAGTTGAGCCATACTGATAAACAGAATTTAACAGAGAAATTCCCAAATTCCTTCTTTTTACTTTTACTGAGAAGGCTGAGTGAATGTAATACGGCGCCGCCGCCTTTGGAAAGCCTTTAAATTCCATCTGTTTGGTTCCAGCATATGAGGACCATTGTAGACAAACAATACTGTCATCTTTTCAGAATAAGGAAGATTTTGTAGGAGCTGTAAGTATTAAAATAAACTGTCATATAATGCTATACTTTTGAGAAGGAGAGTTTTTTAAGCTCACATAAATCTATCATTTTATTTATAATATTAATAAAACTCTTTCTTAACATGAAGCTCTCAAACACCTTCATACAACCTTGTCAGACTTACCCAAATTAGCATACCTGAATCTTGGCCTAACTATAACTGTAATTTCTAGCAGTTCTCTGTATTCACAGGACAATTGGGATCATAAAACTTCCAAAGAAGATCCTGGTGAGGAGTCTATACTCCATGATTTTCCTGGGATCTATTCACATTTTAGCCACAGACACCTTTCAAGCAACTTTTATGGTCAGGTACTATGACAGACTGGTAGTCTGAAAATCATGTAACAGTGAGATTTGGTTTATAGGCCAAAGTGTTTATAAGTAATAGAGTATTAACAGATGTGTCTACTCCTTTGACTATTTGCTCAAAAAAGAAGATAGATGATACTATTTAATGAAAATATGAATGTATAATAGAATGAGCTCTCTAACAACATTTTTCATGAATAGTTCATGAATAATTGACAAAGAGGAAAAATAATTGATTACATTAAACTTACTTTCTTTTTTTTTTTTGAGTATGTCCATTTTGTAATTTACACACAACACCAAATTGAACAAAAGAAAATTCCCCATTGCAAAAGTTCTAGATTACAACAAATCCTCTATAAACATAATTCCGTTTCTATCATAAAAGTTAATCTGTGAGTAGGAGATGCTGAGATGCTTATAATTTCCCTTGAGCCAGGGCAGTGGCAACAGTAAACAGAGAAGGGCAGTCTATAACAAGAGGCCTTTCTTAGAAAATGGAGAGGGTCAAGAGTTCTATGGTTTCCATTCCCCAGTCAACTTTTAGTGCTAGAAGAGTAACTTTTTTAAGAAGAGGAATGAGTGCCAAAAGCAGGGGAAAAGTCTCAGTTCTAGAACATAATAATATGCTTCCTACACTGTTTCCTCTGGTAATGAGGTCTCTGATTAAGAATATCACTGGAACTTGTCCCTTTTATTAATGTAAATATTACTGTTATCTTTTCAGTTTCTTTTTCTGGAGTATTCCTATTTATATTTACATATTAGACGAAAATCTATTATGTGATTAGGACACAGGGCACTTTTAAGTTACTTATTACTTACCTTTGGTGTAATGAAGAAGTACTGAGATGTGTTTTCTTTACAGGCAGTATTTACAACCATTTCAAACACTCTCCGTTCATTAATTGGGTCCATTCCCTAAACAATGACAATAATGACTGTCTGTATCTATTATAAGATGTAATAAGACATACATAAAAGAAGAATCACTATACCTGATTGATTTCATCAACTACTCTGAATGGACATCTATTAAGCTCCTGAAGTGCCATCAAGTATAACATGGTAGAAACACTCCTTTCACCTCCACTCTGATGATGAGGAGTTAATTCATGCAGTTGAGTACTACTGCGAAACTTGACTCTAATTCGAATTCCATACTTATCATAATCTTCCTGTAAAACATCAAAAATTTTGATTACAGATGACAGTTTCCTTTGGTTATTTCATTCTATATTTGGAAACAGATTAAATTAACTAAATAAAAATAAAGAGCTTAAAATTCAGCGATACTAGTTTAAAAGTAAAACATGTACACTGACGACCATGAGATGAGAAATTAAAAAATAAAAGCAAAACAATAAATATTATGCAAACAGTTATTACCTAAAAGCTTGAAGGGTCTCCAAGGATGTATTCAGACAAGGACAATATTCAGATTACATTAAAACTTTTCATACTCTGTACTATTCTTTGCAACTTCAATAGGCTTTCCCAAGGGCTTTTAGACAATTACCTCTGTCATGGAAAGCACTGTCTATTTTAGTTCCAAAGTGCTAGGTTTCAAAGTATAGGTGAAAACAATTAAAATATTCAGAACATGATGGAGTGTCCTGCCATTTCCTCTGGAGAAATGGGTGTGCATGCCAATTCCCACTTCTTTACTCGGTTAAGAAGGAATAAAAGAGGCAAAAATTATATGCATACTTTGAAAAATTATTTACATTAAGTCACACACACACAAACACACAACTCAGCAAAAAGCCTGGCACATAACAGGTGCTAGCTAAATACTTGTAATGAATGCATTCATTGTTCTATAAGTTTTGCCAGAACTGAAGCTGCTCCAAGGTTTATTTATTGTTCTTTTCGATGTCATTTCTAGGATGGTCAGGTTCAGATTTACCTTAGAAATGAGATACATATCTTACTAATTAAACGTTATTTAATGAATAGAGCTTTAAGGTCTAAGTGGTGGCCAAGAAAAAGATAAAATGCAAGCCACATATGTTATTTTAAAATTTCTAGTAGTGACACTTAAAAAAGTACAAATAGCAAAATTAATTACAATAATATATTTAATCCGGTATATCCAAAGCACCTTTTTGACATGTAATCAGAATACAATTTTTTTCTCTTAAAAACATTTATAGAGATAGGGTATTGTTATACTGTCAAGTCTGGAATATAGTGGCTATTCATAGAGATGATCCTGCTATATGGGTCAGTACAAAGTCTGGACCTGCTCCATTTCTGACCTCAGCCATTCACCCTTCCCTGGACAACCTAGTGGTCCCTGAACCCCAGCAGGTTACCATAGCAATGCCTTAAGTCAGTGTGGACACCCAATCAGCAAAGTACACTGCAGACCAGAATTTCTAGGCTTAAGTGGTCTTCCCACTTTCGTTTCCCAAGTAGCTGGGATTACAGGCACATGCTACCACATTTGGCTAAATTAAAAGAAAAACATTTTTTTTTAGACAGGGTCTCACTATGTTGTCCAAGCTTGTCTACAATTCCAGGGCTCAAGTGATCTTTCCATCTCAGCCTCCAGAGTAGCTGGGATTACAGGTGTTGAGCCACCATCCCTGGCCACCATAATTTTATTAACTATGTCATTTCTTAACTATACCAGCTTTGATTATTAGAGTTTTATTTTTGGCTCAGACATCCCCCATTCTTTGCTCTTTCTACCCCATTTTAGTTTTGTCCATTTCACTGAAGATTCTGGCTAAAGAAGGCAGTTCTAGAACCATTAAGTCGGGAGGACAGAATAGAAGCATTCGGGAGCCTGAGAAAAGGTAAAAATGTTAATTCCCTGGAGCCCAAGGCTAGGTAGATTTACACTGCACAGATTGAGGAGAATCATCTCTATGGTAGTTCAGTTATTAGTGAAAACCTAGAAGAGCTGTCCAAAAACAGTATAATGATAAAGTTACAGTACCAAGCAGTAAGATCTAGATTAAAGAATGGGATTTCTATAACTGGTTGAATTCTACAGACTTTACCATCTTTATAACTTATGTGATTAAGCTCTTTGATAAAGAAATAATAGCAAAAAACAAAAAAAGAAATAATAGCAGCTCATCACCCATAGCACAGTGGTTATGGCAACAGCCACATGCACCAAGGCTGGTGGGTTTAAGCCTGGCCCAGGTCAGCTAAACAACAATGGCAACTGCAACCAAAAAAATTGCTGAGCGTTGTGGCAGGTGCTTGTAGTCCCAGCTACTCGGGAGGCTGAGGCAAAAGAATTGCTTAAGTCCAAGAGTTTAAGGTTGCTGTAAGCTGTGACGCCACGGTACTCTACAAAGGGGAACATAGTGAGACTCTGTCTCAAAAAAAAAAAAAAAAAAAATAGCTACTACTTTTGAGTCTGATGAAGCTTCCAGTAAATAAATTTATTTGAGAGCTTAGGTTCTAGGATCAGATCTAGAATTTGATTCTTTCTTTGCTTTGCCACTTGGAAGCTTATAACCATCAGTACCTGTGCTTCATAGAATGGTTATAAGAACTGAACAATAGCTGGGCACAAGCCTGTAATCCTAGCATTTGGGAGGCCAAGGCAGGTAGACTGCCTGAGCTCACAGGTTCGAGACCAGCCTGAGCCAGCGGGAGACCCTGTTTCTAAAAAAATAGCCAGGCATTGTGGCAGGCATCTGTAGTCCCAGCTACTCATGAAGCTCAGGCCAAAGAATCACTTGAGCCCAACAGACTGAGGTTGCTGTGAGCTATGATGCCATGGCCTTCTACCAAGGGCGACAAAGTGAGATGCTATATCAAAAAACAAACAAACAAACAAAAGAATTGAACAAGATAATTTAAAAGTATATGGCATTGTGTATGACACAAAGGAAGCATACTAGATATTACTAATGTTACTATATCTTTTAGTTCTAACAAGCCCAAAGATTGTGTACATGACAATAATTATGGTAAGATCCTTAGATCTGATGCTTCACACTAAGCAGATGAAGGTACTATGGGACAAAACACCTAAGGGGAGAAAATGGTGCTATGTATGGTGCTTTATATTTATGTAACATATATTCAAAATTGCCTACATGCTATACTGCAAAATTACTGAGCTGCAAAGGAAAAAGATTTCATCTTTGTTACTAAAAATGCTTTATTATATTTTCAATGTATACAAAATTATAGGAAAAACTAAACTGACTTCAATTTATTATCAATGAGACTCAACCATGATCAATAATGGCCAGTCTTGTTTCACTGATAATCCCACTCCCCCTTCTCAAAAGCAAATCCTAGTTTATCTTTACACATTTCTTTCTTTCTTTGAGAGACAGTCTCACTCTGTGTCCTGGTAGAATGCAGTTGCATCAGCCTAGCTCACAGCAATCTCAAACTCCTGTGCTCAAGCGATCTTCCTGTCTCAGCCTCTTGAGTAACTGGAACTATAGGTGCCTGCCACAACATCCAGGTAATTTTTCTATGTTTAGTATAGATAGGGGTCCCATTCTTGCCTAGGCTGGTCTTGAAGTCTTGAACTCAAACATTCCTCCTGCCTCCGTAGCTCAGAGTGTTAGGAATACAAGTGTGAGCCACTGCACCTGGACTCTACCTGTTTTTAACAACAAAAAATTTTACCTCAAATTGTAACTCATAGCTTAAGAAGTTGGGCCAAGTACGGTAGCTCACTTTCCCAGCACTTTGGGAGGCTGAGGCAGGAGATCACTTGAGGCTAGGATTTTAAGACCTGCTGAGGCAACATAATGAGACACTGTCTCTATAAAAAACAAAAACTAAAACTAACTGGGCATGGAGGCCCATGTCTGTAGTCCTAGCTACATGGGAGGCTGACCAGAAGTTTTAGGTTACAGTGAGCTATGAAGATGCCATCACATTCTAGCCTAGGGTAAAAAGTGACATTCTGTCTCAAAAAAAAAGGAAGGAAAGGATAGGAAAAAGGAAAAGAAAGAAAAGGAAGACAGAAAGGAAATAAATTAGTAGCAAATTTCCCAATATTTCCATTTTAATTAACTCCTAAATTCTTGGTCAAAAAGAAATAGATATATACTATATTTTAATTATACTTTCTAATTTATGACTTTTCTAACGTGGGCAGTGGTAGACTTATAAATCAATCCATTTGTTCAACACAGCTGAATAACCATCACTCAGATTGGATATAAAGAATTAGTAAGTTATTATTATTGGTCATTTATCCTTAAACATCAACAACTGCCACTCCCCTCCCCCCAAAAAAATGACCCTGAAATAAATTTTTGGAGGCATGGAGCAAGATAGCTGACTGAAGCCATCAGTTGCTAGAGTGCTTCAGAAAGAAGGAAATGTTTTAGATGGGAAAAAATATAGCTTAGTTGTAATTGTGAGGTACAACCTACCAGAAGTTCTATAGGAAGAAGTTATGGAGCAGCACAAGGGGCAAGACTTCAGATCAACCCTGGAGAAACTAGGAGCCCTGCAGAAAGGTAGGTGGAGGTTTTGTTTTTCCTCGCCTCACATCTCTGGTGTCCTCCAGGCACTTGAGCTTCTCTACCCTCACAAACCCAAAGGCTGCTGCCACCAGTGAACTGGGAGCTTCCAGAGAACAAAGGACCGGTCTGCCAAGCCCTCTGGGATTTCCCCTCACCAGAGACCCATGCCAAGGGAGTGGGTGCCATACTACTTCTCTGCCCATTATGTGCTTTTGTCCTACTCAGGGAGTGCCGGCCCTTCATTTTTGTGTCACTAGACACCACATAAACATTTCCCAACTCCTGCCCTGACTGTGGTCGCCACAGGGGACTAGCAGATCCCAGGGGAACTGTGTGATCTGAGAGCTTGGACACCCTAAGCAGGCTACCTTCTGGGGAGAAAGACAAAGGGAACCATAGTACCAGATCTCCATTTAGACTCCTCTTCTCCTCCTCTCCCTCACCCACTGCTGCCAAGTGGCAGCTACCATGTGAGTTGGCATGGATATCCCATGGGATAAGTGAGCTGGGGCTTTCAGGAACTGCTACCTCCCCTCTGCTGTTGGTGCATTCATTACTCCGAGGCTTCCACAAAGAGTGGGACCCACACCCGTTTAAAGACCAGCCAGCAGAGGACCAAGGGATGCATGAACTATGAGCTCCTTGTCTGCTGGTGCTGCTTACTTCTCCAGCACAGCAGGGCATTCTCTGAAGTGGAAGATACTGAACGTATT